GGTCCCGCCCCCATCCCGGCCAGGGCGCAAGATGGCGTCTGCTTGCTTCGTGGGCGTGGCCTAGAGCTGGCTCGCCCAATGTGGGCGCTCGGGGGCGGAGGGTCTCCCCGACTTCCTGGAGTGTGCGCTCTGCCATTGGTCGAAATGGCTTGTAGGGCTGGCCAATCGCGGTGGGCCTTGGTATAGCCGTCGCCCTGGCAACGCGCGGAGCCGCCTGGGACAGGCCCTGGTGCGCGAGTCCAGGTGGCTCCGACTCTGGCGGCTCAGGTGGGGCCTGGCCCCGGGGGGCGCAGGTGGGCGGGCCGCGACCCGCAGCTGCCCGCCCTGAGCAGACCGCCGGCCCCGTGCCTGGCCGTCAGTCTGCAGGGCCCGGCCAGCCTCCGCGTCGCGGGCCGCCCTGACTGCGCTAACCCAGCCGGCCCTGCCTCTGGCCCGCAGCGTCCAGGTGCCCGACGATGGAGGAGCGCGCCAGCCTGATGCACATGATGAAGCTCAGCGTGAAGGTGCTGCTGCAGTCCGCGCTGAGCCTGGGCCGCAGCCTGGACTCCGACCACGCGCCCCTGCAGCAGTTCTTCGTAGTCATGGAGCACTGTCTCCGGCACGGGCTGAAGGGTGAGCGCGCCCGCGTTGGTCTGGGCGGGGGGCTGCCCTCGGGAAGTGACGTGGCGAGCAGTAGAAATGGCACGCAGCTACCTGGGATGGCCGAGTGCGGTAGCCACGTTTAAGAAGGTGGGGGGGAGGCGGGCAGCAGTTATTGTAATGGCTGTGCGCGGTTCGAATCCCGGGCCCGGTGGCTTAAACTCATGCGGGGCGCGTGTGCGTGCGTGCCCAAGATCCCGAGAGGAGAATGGAGGAGAAGGGATTGCGGCGTGACCATCCCTCCTGGGGACAGTGTGATTTCTTACTTTCTGTCTCTCTTTCTGGCAAGCGCATGTGCCCTATAGCAAATTCCTCTCCAAAAAAAAGAGAGAGAGAGGAACAGGTGCACGTAAGTCTAATGATGCGTTTTGTTGAGTCCACCGCATCTAAAATGTTACCTAACACGCAATTGCTGGTTGAAAAGCACGTGAGCGGGCTAGTTCGTCTCTGTATACTAAGGCTTAGAAATTCGCGGTTTCACACTCCGGCTCATCTCAGTCGCACTGGCCACATTTCAAGTGGCCAGGGACTGCCTTGGACAGCACAGGCCGAGGAGACAAGGTAGTGGCAGGGTCACAAAGTGCTGCACGTCTGCAGAGCAGGGTGGGTTAAAGGGTAGGCAAGGAAGGGACGTCCAGCGGGGATAAGAGGGGAGGGTCTTGGACCAGCTGGTGGCATGGTGACGAAGGTGGCTGGACCCCCCATGGCTGACTGCTCAGTTGAAGTCCCAGACTCAGCAGCCTGAGAAGACAGGTGTGTGTGTGTGCATACCCAAGACTCAGAGGGAGAGAAACGGAGAAGGGGTCGCGGTGTGGCCACACCCTCTAGGGGACTGCTTTCTCACGTCCCCTCTCTGTACTCTCTAGCATATTTGGGGGAGTGGGGGATACAGCCCATGTGCCCTCTGGCAGATTAGAAAAGTATGTGTGGGGGTCTCTCTGAGGAATGAAATGTGAGCTGAGACTTAAGGAAGAAGGGATTGGCCTTGTAAAGATTTGGGGGCAAGACATTCCTAGCTTTAAAAAAAACACACACCGTTGCACAGGTCCTGAGTGGGACCCCCGTGGCTGGAGGAAGGTCGGGGTAGCTGAGGCAGGCCGAGAGAGAAGAAGCAGGGAGGCAGTCTCTGCATCTGCCGGCCCTCGGGGCCAGGGCGCGGAGCTGAGTTCTAGTCTAAATGTCGGCACAGTTTTAAACGAGGCAGAAAGGTGGCCCGCGTTGTTTCCGAAAGAACTGCCAGCTATGTCAAGAACAGGGTTCTCGTCCTTTAGGTCTTTTTCCCTAGGGCACAAGTGCTCGCTGGAGAAAGAAAGAGACAGAGAAAATGAGAACTCAACCCCCAGATGGGATGGCCACTCTGCAGTCCCTTCTCCTCCCGTCTTCTCGGGATTTGGGGCACACACGCATGCCTAGCATGATTTTTAAGCCGCCAGGTCTTGGACTTGAACCACAGTTGGCCATGTGGGAATCCAGCACTTTAACCATCATGCCACCTGCTGGCCCCTCGAGAACAGACTTTGAACATGAAGAGGTGACAATATTATTGGGTCCTCAGAAAGTCATGACGCGTTTTCTGGGTTTCTGCCCAGAAGTCCGCCATGACTGACGCGGGACCCAGCAGAAGCAGGGAGACCAGCTGTGGCGGCCTAGGGAAGGTGTGCCGATAGGTGGAGAGAGCGAGCGCAGAGGTCCCGTGGGGAGGCAAAGGGCAGGGTTCTCAGGCGGTCAGATGCCAGTGAACACGGGTAGAGAGCCCGGTCTGTCAGAGAAACCCCGTTGCCAGAGCTGCTCCCAGCCCGAGCTAGGACAGGACTGAATGTGGGGCTCTGCGGCCTTCTCGGCTCCCGGGAGACCGTGGGTCCCTGAGGAGGTCTGCACAGTCCCGCATCCGTGGGTAACGTGTCTGTTTTCCCCTTCAGTTAAGAAGAGTTTTATTGGCCAAAACAAATCTTTCTTTGGTCCCCTGGAGCTGGTGGAGAAACTTTGTCCAGAAGCAGCAGATCTAGCCACGAGCGTCAGAAACCTGCCGGAGCTGAAGTGAGTGCGAAGCGCAGCTCGGGTCCACTGTTCACACCTCCTCGCGCTCCCACATGGCCCTGCTCCCCGAGCCTCGGGGTGTCCGGCTCTGAGATGGAGGCTCCTCACTGGTTGGCCACGGCTCTGGAGCAAGGTCGCCACCTCTCAGCCTCAGTTTCCTTTTCTCAAAACGGGACAGTGGGACCAGCAGATGGCGTAATGGCTATGTTGCTGGACTCCCCTGTAGCGACCATGGTTCTAGTCCTGAACCCGGCAGCTTAAGACTCAATGCTGGGCACAAGTGCATGCCTGCCCAAAATCCCAAGAGGAGAATGGGGGAGAAGGGTTTGCGGCATGGCCATCCCCCCAATCTCTCCAAAAAAAAAATAAAAAATAAAAAAATAAAAAAATAAAAATAAATAAAAATGGGGTAGCAATTCCTGCTTGCCTCACGGTTCGGGTGGGTTGAAAGGCATCAACCAGGGGGACCAGCAGTTAGCGTAATGGCTATGTCGCTGGATTCCCACGTAGTCGACCGCGGTTCGTGTCCTGGACCCGGTGGCTTAAAACTCACGCCAGGCGCGTGTGCGTGTGTGCCCAAGATCCCGAGAGGAGAATGGAGAAGGGATTGCGGCGTGGCCATCCCCCCTGGGGGTGATTTCTCACTTTCTGTCTCTCTCTCTTTCTGTCTTTCTGGCGAGTGCACGTACCCTATAGCAAAAGAAAACCTCTCCAAAAAAAAAAAGACGTCAACCAGGGAACCGTCATGGGAGGAAGGGAGTCCTGCTACGTCCCGGCTCTGCCTGGGGAGTGTCCAGGCAGTTTTCCGAGTAATACCATTTGAGCCAGGTGTCAGAGTCTGGGGCCGAGGCGTTCGTGGAGTGGCTGGGACTGAGTCAGTTGTCACCTGCATTTGCCCTCTGGACCCCTGTGCCTATGCCCAGAGCAAGCCTAGATAGAATTCAGAGAAGCCACCCTTGGGGGTCTGGCATTTAGCAGGTACCCTGGAGCTTCGAGCCCACGCAGAGACACCTCGCAGCCTGCACCGGGGACCTGACTGTGGGCTCTGGCTGCCCTTCTGTGGAGCCACCGTAACGTCTTGGGACCACAGTGTCAGCCACCACCCAGGGCCTGTGTGTGCTGGGCGCTGTGCTGAGGACGGACCACCGTTCCTCCTCCACGACAGTCCCGAAGGACAGCGGGCATGGGCTCACAGTGGCTAAGTGACGTACCCGGGGTCCCTGAGCAGGTGGGTGGGGGAGCCCAGTGGGGACACGGTCTGTTGAACTCAGAATCCCATCAGCCGCGTGCCACCCGCTCAAGACTGGCTCAGCCTGTCTGGTCTGCATTTCAGCCCTCTGGGTCACACCGCGTGAGGGGAAAGCCTTTGGCAGGTAACGGCCTTCCAGACACTGAAGGCCCCGAGTCCCCATGTGCCCCGGCCTCGGCTGGGCCGTGTGGTAGTCGCCATGCCCTTCCCACACCCGCCCCGAGAGCAGAGCACTGGGCAGCGCCTGGCGTCTTCTGCTTGAGTGGATCCAGGCCTCCGTCCTCTCTGTGCACGTGAGGCGCTTTTGGCGTTGTTAAGCCAGCTCGGCGCTCACGGGCTGCGAGGTGCGTCCGGTAACCGGTGAGGACCTCGCCCTGTCTGCCTCGCCCCACCTTTGAGCCTGGCAAGGAGCCGCCTCACTGGGCCATGCAGGAAAGGGCCTCGGGAAGGGACCACAGGCCTGCAGGATCAGGCCTGGTTGAGGCTGCTGCTTGGCGGACTGCTGCCACGTGGGAGGCCCAGGCCACTGCCCAGCCCCCAGGAGCCTGGTGTGGCGTTGTGCACCTGGGTCCCAGCTACTCGGGAGGCGGAGGGCCACCATGGAAAGCAGCGAGCCGTCTAGAAGAGCCAGGTGTGGTGACATCACCTGTGGTCCTGTGGAGTCGGGAAGCTGAGGCAGGCTGATGGCAGGATAGCGAGACCCCGCCTTAAAAAATAACAGCAAACTGAGCGCAGTGACAGACGTTCTAAAACTGCAGCGCGTTGTGGGAACTGGTTAGTGGGGGCTTGTGGGGCTGGAGGATCGTTTAAAATGGTTTGAAACTTGCAGGGTGAATTTTACATCCTGGGAAGACTCTCTAGAGTTTAATTCCTGTATCTACTTGAGATAAAAATGTCTTTCATGAAGGCCAGCTTATTTAAAAACAATTTGTTTTATTTAACTTTATTTATTTATTTTAATTTGACCAGAGAGGGGCAAAGTGAGAGAGAAAGAAAGCAAACTGCCTGGTCCAGGACTCGAACCACAGTTAGCCATATGGGAGTCAAGCTCCCTTAACCACCATGCCATTTGTGGTCCCAAAACATGTCAAAGTAGGTTTTTTTTTTTCTTTCTTTTTTATTTTTTCAGAGAGATTTTTGCTATAGGGCATGTGCACTCACCAGAGAGACAGAAAGTGAGAAATCACCCCCCCGGGGGGGGATGGCCATGCTGCAATCCCTTCTCCATTCTCCTCTCAGGACTTTGGGCACGTGCATTAACTACGTCAGCTGGTCCCTTGAAAGCCTTTTTAACTGATAAGACCAGATTAACCCCTCTGTGCCTGGCTTCTGAAATCACCCAGGGTGGACTCCAGCCCCTGCGGCCAGGTCTCCTGCCCAGAAAGTGTGTTTTGGTGCAGACATCGGTCACGGCACCACCTGCACTGCCTGGGGTGTCACCAGCGCAGTTGCTGTGGGGGGGCCGCACCTTTTTTTCCTTAAAACATTGTCAGGATTGCAGTTGAGAGGCAGTTTTTTTTTTCCAATTTGCTGCAGGACATGTATACTTACCAGAAAGATACGGAAGTGGGGAAAGTGAGAAAGCACCCATCCAGGGAGACGGCCATGCCACAGCTCCTTCCCCGTCTCCCTCCTGTCGGGGTGCTGGGCATGCACACACACCCAGTGTTTCTTTCAAGCCGCAGGTCTGGGACGCGAACCTTGCAGCAGGCTGTGTGGAACCAGTCGTTCCAGCCACCACGCCCGTAGCTGGCCCCAGAGGCATTTTTTTCTTTTAATGTTTCACAGAGGACTTTCAGAAATCATCCCTTTGGGATTGGTTGCACAGTGGCATGGACGTGTTTAGCTGAAACCGCGCATGAAAACTGGTTAAGGTGGTCCATTTTACCTGGTGTGTATTTTACCACAGTTAAAAATTAAGCGTAAAACTGCACCTTTGTTCTAATGCCTTAAAAATGTATTGAGACTTAACACTAACGAGCACCACATTCCATATTCGACTTTCAAATAAACATTTATACCAGTATATAGTTTTTTGTTTGTTTGTTTTTGAGAGATTTGCTATAGGGCACATGCGCTCGCCAGAGAAACAGGAAGCAAGAAATCACCCCCCACGGGGGATGGCCATGCCACAATCACTTCTCATCTCTCCTCTCAGCATCTTGGGCATGCTTGCACACACACCTGGTGTGAGTTTTAAGCCACCAGGTCCAGGACTTGAACTGCAGTCAACTATGTGGGACTCCAACATAACCATTACACCATCCGCTGGTCCCCATTATACAGTTTTTTGTTTTGGGGATTTTTTTTTTTAATAATTACTTTACTTAACTTTATTTATTTAAATTTGACCAGAGCGGGACAGAGAGAAAGTGAGAAAGCAAGCTATCGGGTCCAGGACTCAAATCACAGTCAGCCATGTGGGAGTCCAGTGCCCTTAACCACCACGCCACCTGCCGTCCCCCGCATTATATAGTTTTAAATGTGATCTGGTTTTTAAATCAAGTGAGGGTATCGGTGCCTGTTCAGAAAAAGAAAGCTGGTGTTACCCTGGGCATGCTGCTGTGCGGCTCCTTCTCCGCTTGGTAGTCGATTTTTTCTTTTTTTTTTTTTGGACAGGGATGGGCACGCACGCACACGCGTCCAACATGAGTTTTAAGCCACCGGGTCCGGGACACGAACCACGGTCGACTACATGGGAGTCCAGCGACATAGCCATTACGCTAACTGCTGGTTCCCAGTAGTAGATTTTTTCTTAATTTTACTTATTCATTCATTTTATGTTAACTTGACCAGAGAGAGAGGGATAGTGAGAAAGCAGCCCGCCAGGTCTGGGACCTGAACCATGGTCAGCCACTCAGTAGTAGATTTTAAACTGCAGGTTAAATCTAACCTGCTCTCGCCTGTGACATTTTATGTAATTGTATTGTTCCAGAGATCAGGTGTTTGTGGGTTAAGGGTTTTGGGGTTTTTGTCTTTACCTTGTATGTCAGAATAAATATACACACTCATGGCATAAGCTCGGAATAGCGCCAGGCGTGCAGTGAGCCAGGCTTTCTGCGTGCCCCACAGTGGGCCTCCCTTCCGCGGACCCAGAGAAGCCTGTCTCTGAGTGCTCTCTGCACACGGCGGGTGTGAGGACGCATTTCCCTGCCTAATGGGGCGCTGTCCCGTGTGGTGTCGCCATTACACTGCAGCAGTTGGCTTCTCTTTGGATTCCAGGACAGCAGTGGGGAGAGGCCGAGCTTGGCTCTACCTCGCACTCATGCAGAAGAAACTGGCCGATTACCTGAAAGTGCTCGTAGACAACAAACACCTCCTCAGGTACCTCGTCACTGTCTCTGCAGCTCTTTTGCTTATAATTAGAACACTGTCTGGACCTTTCCGAATTAAATAGGGGTGTTATTAAATAGCTATGGCTTAGTTGTAAGATAGCAGCGTCTCAGTGTGTGAGCATTACCGTCTGAACGGAGATTCATCTGACCTTCCATTTGGAAAAACTGTCTTGAAGATCTCCAGAAACCTCGCACCTAAGGAGAGTCTGGACGGCTTCTCTGTTGAGTTCCAGTGGGACAGGATTCGTTACCGTAGATGGAAGCAGGAAAGTACTTCAGAGCGAGGCTCGGTGGCAGTTTAAGAGCATAGAGCCCTGCCTCCTCTAAGAGGGCACCCCGTCTATCCCAGGAGCCCATGCTCAGTGGTGAAGTTTGTATCTATAGCCTCGATGAAGACTCATAGTGAGCCCAGGGAGGTGTGGTGGTTAAGGCGCTGGACTCCTGCTTGGCCAACTGTGGTTTGAATCCAGGACACGGCAGCTTTCAGGTCACACTGAGCATGTGTGTGTGTGCCCAAATTCCCAAGAGGAAAATGGAGAAGGGATCGTGTGGCCATGCCCCCAGGGGGTGATTCTCACTTTCCCTCTCTCCACTGAGCGCACACACACTTAAGAAAAACAGGCTCAAAGTGGCGTCTCTGAAACGTGTGGCCAGCCCGTGTCTGGTGTTCGTCATAAAAGGAATTTTCTGTGGACTGTGAGGATTTACAAGAGAGGTCTCTTTCTAGAGTTCTCGTGCAGTTGAGATAAAACTCCCTCACGGTCTGGCCTAAAACCCAAGCTTCCGGTGTTTTCGAGTCACGCCCTGGGACTAAGCTACCTTTACGTGACAGACTGGTGTCAGGTACCTCCTGTCCTCTGTCTGAGCATAGTTACACGGAGCAGCAGTTACGCGAGCTGGTGGACGAGGTTGGCGAGGTGGGGCCTACCCTGACCACCACACTGCGCCTGGGCGTGACGGCAGAAAGGCCACACGTCTTGCCCAGTGGGCCCGAGGAGGAGGGAAGAGCTCCATTCGTGGCATGGGGAGGCCATGGGTTTCCATGTGCTGTTCAGGTGTGAGAGCAGCTCAGACGGCCTACAGGTGGCCAGAGAGACCCAGATGGCAGGGTGACCGGCAGGAGGGGACAGGGATGGGTAGGGCTACACCCGGAGTCCCCTGAGCAGGAGGGAAGAGCCCTCTAGCCACAGACGAAGAAGGCAGAGGAGGGAGGGGGATGCACCACAGATGGCCAAGGTGACTGCGAGGTGGCGGCGGGTGGGCGGACGGCCGGGAGGTCTGAGCAGCCCCTGTCCGATCTCTCTCGCAGTGAGTTCTACGAGCCCGAGGCGTTGATGATGGAGGAGGAAGGGGTGGTGGTCGTCGGGCTGCTGGTGGGTCTCAACGTCCTCGATGCCAACCTCTGCTTGAAAGGAGAAGACTTGGACTCCCAGGTAAGGTGGCGTTGGGCTTTAAAAGAGTGAGTTATTTCAAGGAATTGACACAGGCGGGGTGGGGGGACACGCTCCTGGGGCAGGCTGGGACAGCGTGTCCAGAGTCAGACGCAGAAAAGGCAGCATGTGAGGGGGCAGGCAGACGGGCGCTCTGCCTGGACAGGGTGCCTGCAGTGAGGGGAGGTGGGCCTGGCTGTGGCGGGCCGTGGCAGGTGGAGGGGCCGACTGGGCTGGGCTGGGCGGCACGAAGACCTGACGCCCCTTGAGGCCAGTGTGCCAGCCCCGGCCTGGGTGCCTTCTGTCTCTTGCTCATGGGAGAAACAAGCAGACAAGCTGTAAGGGGTGCATAGACAGAGCAAAGGCTTTCGCTGCCGTTTCCGAGCCCCGGGATGCTGCTGGCAGCTGCGCCGCCCTGCGGTGGCCAGGCCTGTGTCAGACATGGCCAGCTGCAGAGACAGCGGCAACACAGAGGAAGCAGTCTGCACGTCCCGGCTTTCCCCCACGAGTTTGGAACTAAAGACCCAAGCTTTCCCTATCCATAGCACGGTCAGCTTCTCCTTTTTTTAAAAAAAAAAGTGTTTAATTTTATTCATTGTCACTTTTATTTTATTTTTATTTTATTTTATTTTTTTGGAGAGATTTTTGCTATAGGGCGCGTACGCTCACCAGACAGAGAGAGACATAGAGACAGAAAGCGAGAAATCACCCCCCAGGGGGGATGGTCACACCGCAATCCCTTCTCCTCCATTCTCCTCTCGGGATCTTGGGCACGCACGCACACGCACCCGGCATGAGTTTTAAGCCACCGGGTCCGGGACACGAACCGCGGTCGACTACGTGGGAGTCCAGCGACATAGCCATTACGCTAACTGCTGGTTCCCACTGTTTTATTTTTTTAAAGTTGACTGGAGAGAGAAGGAAAGTGAGAAAGCAAGCCACCAGGTCCAAGACTCAAACTGCGGTCAGCCATGAGGGAGTCCAGCCGCTTTAACCACCACGCCACCTGCTGGCCCCAACCTCTCCTTTTTATATAGCGTGTTCCACACCGTGGATGGCGGGAGATGCAGGTCGTTTACCAGGCCACGCCGTGCTCTCTCTCTGCAGGCCGCGCTCACCCACAGGCAATGCTAAGGACTTGGGAAGATCTTTTCTAGACCCTTTTCTGCTCTCGGTGAATTTTTGTATACAGAGGTTTTGGTTACTGGGTAACAAGTGAAGGACAGCCCCTTAAACAGTAACCATCCACAGCCCTCTTCTCTCGCAGGTGGGGTTCACCAGGTTCATCTGGGCATTCTTGCTGGGGCGCTCCCATGACCCGAGGGGTGGCAGCAGGGGCTGGAGTCACTCCTGTAGGTGCCACTCCACACAGTGTCCCCCTAGGCTTCTGGGCAGCCAGACCTCTGCAGAGGCACGCCTCCCACCCCAGGGTAGCACCAACTGCAAGCTGTGTGCGTTTTCAGGCAGTGGTGTGATAGCTAAGGTGCTAGAACCCACATCACTGATAGCACGGTTCAAATCCCAGACCTAGCTCGAAAAACATGCCGGGTACATGTGCGTGCGTGCCTAAAATCCTGGTGGGAGGGAGTAGTAGAGGAGGAGACTGGGTCGTGTAAGACCTGTCACCTCCCACTTCCCCGAGGCTGTGTGTCCCCAATCTTCTGGAAAGGACAGCTGATTACTCTCACACTTTGAGGAAGAGTTTCCTACATGAAGTCTTTTGGGAAGTTTTAGATCTCTGAACTTGAGAAGATAGGTGTTGATAAACCCTCCGAGGCTCTCAGAAATCCGCACGGAATGGCCACACCTGCATAAGCACCACTTCAGAGATCCGGGCTTCTTGTCCCCCCGGAGGGCACATGCGTTGGACAGGGAGGGGGAGAGAGTGAGAGGGCTCTGGGTGCACACACATCCCAGTGTTTCTCCAGCCGCCAGGTCCAGGGCTCAGACTGGATAGTCGCCCTAACCACTGGCCACGGGCGCCCCCCCCCCCTT